TTTTCTCTGCGTTCTCTCAACGAAGAGAGATGCGTTGAGCAAACTCGCCAACTATACTAAGCGCAATTAATTAAGAACGCGGAGCATAGCCCGCACGACGGTTTGGCTTCATGTAGAACAAGGCTGCACGTGGGGTATCAGGTCCCTGCCGACGCGCGCAGCGTTCGCGTTGCCGGCAAGCGGCTCCATGTTCTGAGGTTCTACTTTTATCTCTTGGCAGCATTCGGAGTCTGTTATTCCCGCATGTGTTTCACGGCTTCCACTCATGTGACTTCGAACTCAGCAGCTCTCAAAGGAGATGCGTTCGCAAAAGAGGGTGTTCTGTGTAGTAAAGGGGATTATAGCAATCATGACGTCATAGAGTAAAATCTCAACATGAATCTGAAGCTCAGGTCTATCGGCTTTTGGTTCCACTTTCCATCTGCTATCCCGCCTTTCATCCACTCCCGAATGCACCACTATGGAGACTTGAGGAGTCACAAGCGAGTAGCAGGGAGATGTGGAACCATATTTTATTATATAGTATTTAGTATACTTAGTATATTTTTTGAATGCACCTACAGATCTTGTGCGGGACATATGGCATACAACATACTACTGCCACTACTTATATGAGAAGCGAGAAGCCTTAAGAAGGAGGAACATCGACTCCGACTTCAAATATCATACTTATTATTACTTACTTATTATACCTTCTTCAAAAGGAAAACGCTTACCGATCGCAACTACAACAACATCGGCGGGAACGGTTTCGCCCGAATTCAGTACCACTCCATTCACTGCATCGGAGCCTGTGAAAAACTTGACCGTCTGATTCACCATAACTTTCACTCCTTTCTCTTCAAATCGCTGAAATGGCTCCAAATTGGATCGAATAATTGGCAGCGAAATCCTCACCTCTTGATCAATCACAAGTATGCTGGGCAAGAGTGAAACTTCTGCGCAGACAGCTATTTTTCCAGTAAAATGTGTCTTAGAACAAAACCAGAACACAATTTCTCGTCCTGCCATAATATGCATTTTTGCAAATGCAGTGTAAGCGAGCTTACGACTATTTGTCGCTGCCCGTATAATGAATTGTCCGTTTTGTGCCAGCATCTTCTGCGGGCACAACAGCATTGGCAGTACTGGATAAAATACAGACTGGGATGAATCTCACGACCCAGTGCAACTCCGAACGCTACCGCTCACTCACTGCAATGTGGCCAATAAGAACGGAGACGCGGCCGGGTTTCTGTATTGAGCGGCATGATGCTTCCAAAGTAGGCCGACTGGCGTTCACGAAAGTTAGGCACTGTTAATAGCTTGAGGTTGCACTTCGATGAGTCGATTAGGTAGGCGACTACGCAGTTCCCGTCCCACTCCCAAGCCTTTGAGAAAAGGTTGAGCAGTTTTGGCAGCATGAGAGGAAGAAAATTTATTTGAGCATAACTGAGAAGAAGATATACATTCTAAAAATAAAGCTGCTTTGCGCAGGTTGCTTCACGTAGGCTGAAAAAGTGAAGGATTACGTGTTCATTTTGCACAGGATCGTAGAAAGGTTGTCACGATTAGTTTTAAGCAAAGCTGTGTTTTCGCTTGACGTACTTCAGACTCACCGCACTAATCTCTCGGAACACGAACTCATTCCTTCATTCTCTGTCATTAGCGAGTAGTAGCTATGTGCACTAAATCTCGATCCGATCCGATTACGCCCGACCGTCTTCCACTCCATT